CAGCACATTCTTTTACTGGTAGTTCATAGTCTCCCTCTGACTGTGGAGCTAGTAGATCTACAGTCTCATACTGTGGGAATCTAGTTCCTTCCACTACACCATAAGCAGCACATTCTTCCATTGATAGTTCTGATTGTGGAACTGGTAGATGTACATTCTCATACTGTGGATTAACTAATGATAGTTCTTGCTCTTGTGAACCTATAAGTAAACTTTGTTTATAAATGAATAAATAAATTACAGTACTTTGATTATTATTTTCATTCCTCTTCAGTAATGTAACATCATTACTCACTTCCATTCTTCCTCTTCTCTTTTTAAATTGAACTGTTGCTGTTACCACTACAATTACTATAACAACTACAATGTACATATTAATGACAACGTTTGATTATAATGTACATACCAATTGTTATAATTAGTAGTGCAATTGATATCCCAGAAACCAATTGAATAATTGATAAAGAAGAAGATATAGATGAAGGAGCTGTCAATGAAGGAGTTGGGGATGAAGAAGTTATGGAAGTTACTGATGACAAAGTTAAAGATAAAGAAGATGAAGACAAAGGTGGAGTGATGGAGGAAGGCATTGGGGATAAAGAAGAGGCTTTGGATGAAGAAGATAGAGATGAAGGTAAAGAAGTTGGGGATAATGAAGATAGGGATGAAAAAGTAATGGATGAAGAAGTTATGGAAGAAGGTACTAGAACTGATGAGGGTGTAGCAGTTGAAGTAGCTACGTATACAAAAAGTACATTATAACTACACAAATGAACATACACTGTACCTGTCACTAATGTACTAGTTAATCTAGTGGTACGAGTAGAACTACTGATGGTAGGAGTATCTGTAGTACTGCTTATGATGGAGCTACTTGTAACTTGTTGTACTGTTGAAGTAGTTGATACTGTAGCTGGTACTGATGAAGAAGTAGCTAATGCTGATGAAGTAGTTGTAACTTTTAAAGCAGTTGGTGCTAATGAAGTAGTTAATGCAGATGAAGTCGGAATTGTTGAAGTACTTGCTGACAAAGTAGATATTATCAATGGTTCTAGAGACATCATTGATGGAGTAGTCAATACTGTTGATGTGAGTGATACTGATGATGAATGAACTGATGACATTAGAACTGAAGATGTAGAGACATTAGTAATATTAATACCAGTTATTACAGCAGGAGGATTAGATATACAGTTCTCGTAAAAGGTTTCAAATTCACATGCATACAGTGTTAAGTTATTACCAACTGGTATGTCACCAAAACACTTAATAAAGTTCAATGAATCATTAAAAGGTTTGAGGTCATCCCAATGAAACTGGCCTTGACTATCAATAATGTGAATGTAATCAATGTAAAGTGTACTGCCATTGACAAACTGAAACTGAACACAAACAGAATTTGATGTAACATTAATCAATGTCAAGTTCAGGTCATGAGTACCTTAAAATAGGTAAATATCATAATGTATTAATTGTGTATTACTTACTGATTGTTATAGTGTTGCTTTGAACTGTAACTCCATTTTGATAGTACAAGGTAGCATTAGTATTCAGTGTCTTATTTGATGGAAATTGAACAACAAGGGAAATGTTATTATAAGAACTATTGCTTGTGGATACATTTGTTGTTGAATAACAGTTATCCTTAGTACATCCTTTCAATGTAATGTTCATTAGTGGTGGTACATTAGAACAAAACTGATGAACCTATAGGAAAGTAAACACAATTAACTCCATTATACTATTGTTTTTCTATATCTACTCTATGCATGGTAACTTACAGATACAATGAAATGAAAAGTCCAATTTACATTCCCTCTTTCCTGATCAGTTACATATAACTCTACATCTACTGTATAGAATAATCACTTTAGGCTCTCAATAAGTATAATTACTTACTTGTTGATTGAAATCCAACAGTTATGTTACTAGTAGATCCATTCCCAACTTTATTAGTAGTTGTAATGTTAAACAGATATTGTTTATCGATTGGGTTCATTGGACAGTAAGTGTAGTTAGTGATAGAGTCATTAAGGTACTGTTGATCAGTTCCTACACTGATTATATACTGTACTGTTAGTCTTGGTAGTGTGAATGGAGGATACCAACTGATAAACATACAACAAGAATCTAACTGGTATCCTGTTAAATCACTGACACTATCAGGTGGACCTGGGAATGATAACAAAAATTGTTCAATTGACTAACTGATACAAATGAAGTACAAGTAAAAGTGTAACAACAATACAGACTAGATGAATACTTGAGTACAGTCACTTCATTAATCAACATTATACTGACCTTGTACATATAGATATGCTGGCTCAGTGGTAGCTCCATTGGGTGCTTTACAGGTAACATTTGTATTATTTACTTCACTTGTTGCTGTTAGGGTGAGTGATGCAATTCCACCAGAGGATGATACTGAACCATCAACAGATAGATAAGTCACAAAAAAGAGACCAAATTGAGTCACATTAACAGCACATTCAAATGTCACAGTATCATTGACATATACATATTGTGTCTCTGGTATAATTGTGAAGGAGATGTCTAAAGCTGAAATTATAAACAATGTAAATGATATAATTGCACCTAAATTAATTCTAAATTTTAAATATCAAAATTAGAACTTACCAGAAATGAAAATTTGGCAGAAAATCATTACAGCAGCAACAAAGGCCATCATCTTCAGTGAACCAACCATGCAATTTGACATTAATGTTGTAAAGGTGTGGCTTTACATCCTACATACCTCATTATGTATGCATGCAATTTTCTTAATTACAATTTCTCAGACTGGTAGTTTGATATATACTTATCTACTACCTTCTACTGCACCATAAGCAGCACACTCTGTATTAGTGCAAGTATTAATATCAATAAGTACTTCATTTTGACTTCCCCTTATATTACTATTCTATGTGGAAACTAACCATATATAGTAATGTTTACAATGGCATTAAAATTTTTTGAATAAAAATTTTTAATTGTTAAAATTTACCAAATCCAGTCCAGTACACACACTAACTCTAAAGTCTATTACCCTCTACTACACCATAAGCAGCACACTCTTCCATTGATAGTTCCGACTGAGGAACTGTTAATGTTACAGTCTCATACTGTGGGAATCCAGCACTCTCTACTACACCATAAGCACCACATTCTTTTACTGGTAGTTCATAGTCTCCCTCTGACTGTGGAGCTGGTAGATCTACAGTCTCATACTGTGGGAATCTAGTACCTTCCACT